ATCATCTGAAGGGCAATGGGATGAGGAAATGAAAAATACTTTTAGGTTATCACTTATCATGTAAGCAGACAGACCCTGCATAAGAAATTACAATCATCCCCTGGTATCCACAGTGCACTGATTCCAGGATCCCTGGCAATACTAAAATATGTAGATGCTGAAGTCCCTTATACAAATGGCGTAGTATCTGCATATCACCTATGTACATCTGGGTCTGCCCTGGTGGCTCAGATGGGAAAGAATCTGCCTGCAATGCAGGAGACCTAGGTTCCATCCCTGGGTAGCAACGATTCCCTGGAGAGGGAAGTGGGTTGCCCACTCCAGTATTCTTGCCTGCAGAATCCCCATGGACAGAGGAGCCTGGTGGGCTACAGTACATGGGGTCACAGAGTCAGACACGACTGAGCGACTAACACTTTCAGTTTATATACATCTGGTATACTTTAAATTGTCCTTAGATTATATAATATCTAATACAATGTAAGTGATATATAAATAGTTGTAAATATAATGGAAATGCTACAGTTGCCAGCACTCAGCAAATTCAGCTTTTGCTTTTTGGAACTTTCTAAAAAAAAATTTTTTTTAATATCTTTGATCCAACGTTGGTGGATTTCCAGGATGCAGAACCCTAGGGTACAGAGTCTTGACTGCACTCATTCAACTCAGCACTTTCTGAATACCTGCTGTCTGTAAGAGAGGCTAACCATATGGAAAGATGGCTAAGATGGTCCTGCCTTGTCACTCTGAAAAAATGGTAGAGTTGAAATGTTTATGAAATACTTTGGGTACTAAGTAAGGAAAACCTAGATAAAGTTTAACTTTTAACTGTCCAGTACCATAATTGTTAGCATTGTGAGAAATTTAATTCTCAGAAATAAGACAGAGATGAGCATGTTATTGAGCTTCCCTTGTAGCTCAGCTGTAAAGAACCTGCCTGCCAATGCAGGAGACAAAAGAGACGTAGGTTCAATCCCTGGGTCAGGAAGATCTCTGGGGAAGGGCATGACAACCCACTCTAGTATTCTTGCCTGGAGAATCGCATGGACAGAGGAGCCTCACACGCTACAGTCCATGGGGTTTCAGAGTCAGACACGACTGAAGCGACTTAGCACACTTGTATGAACATGTTATTAAGACCACAGACTCTGGGAACTTACTATATCTACTCACATCTGCCCATGATTTATTTTGATATCTCAAGAAAAAGGTTTCTAGACTCCTATAAATTATAAGCATATCTTGGGATGAAAATAATGCTGGGATTTTTAGTGCTTGTTATGTGCCAGGTTCTTCTCTAAGGGTTCAGCCTATGTGATCTCACTTCATTCTCACAGCCATCATATGAGACGTGGCTCTTTTCCCACCTTGAAGAGATGCGGGGACCGAAAGCACAAAGGGCTTAAACAATTACCAGCAGATCACACAGCTTGTTATACTTGGCAGAGTCAGTGTTCAAACCTAAGCACAAGATAGAAGAGCTCTCGATTTTATCCTACACTGCAGGTGTTTCTGTGTTTAACCTATTGTGTAAGAATGTGGGGAAGATAAAGAATGCTTAGCAGTGGCTCTTGGATCTTTAGAAAATCACTGATCTAGATAGCAATAGGGCATCTGGTTGTCTATGGCTGAGGACTAGTCATGATAACACTAATAGGTGTGTAGCTTGTAGCTATTCAAGTGATTCCCTAATAACATGTCAGGTCAACATTGCTATGATGAACAACGGATATGTATAATCTATGATAATCACAATGTTTCTTCCTTCAAACTTCACTAAATACATTTTATGTGTGTTTTTTTTGCACCTGAAGCATTTGTGATATATATGTGTATGTTTATATACATATAATGTTTACATATATATAATACAAATAAAGCATTATATACATATAATCTTTATATATGTATATGCTTACCTATATACATGTAAACAAAGCAGCTTTCATGTACATATATATGTATCCTGTTTCATAGAAGAAGAAAGGGTATTTTATTAATTACCGTTAAGTCAGACAAACTCTAATTCATCATCAATATAGACTGAGATGCTCTGGTTCATTAATATTCTTGTTAATAAAAATTCATTTATCATTGATTCACATGCCTATTTGCTTAAGTCTCATAGTCATTTAATTTGTTTACTTCTCTTGTCTTCCATGAGATTGCCAGCACATTGAGTACTCAGATTAAATTCATGAGTCAGTTGCTTATATAACAGTTACAAATGTTAAGTATGGAAAATAAATACCCCATCATCAAAATAAGGAAATTATTAACATTATAAAATAAGCTCCAAAATAAGTACTTAATTTAATGACAAATATGCCAATTTGAATAAAAGCAAGTTGTTTCTTAAACAGTTGTCACTTTTTAAAATTGAGACCAAAATGATTATGACTTAATACAAATGAGAGATTCATACACATGCATATTTATAGTATTGTGCCCATAAGGAAACTCAGTAATAATCTGATTTGTAAAATCAAATTTGTTATGCTCCTTTAATTAGGAGCAAATGGGAAGGTACAAATAGGGGCCAATATCAGAAAAAAAGATAAGCTCTATCTTAGGTGATTCAGACAAAATCAAATAGCAGAAATTGCATTTATAATATCTTTTGTCTCTAAAAACATTAATAAATATATGAAATCACTACTTCCATAATGATGGAGAAAGCAATATTTATGAATTTCAATATAAATGTAATTATATAATCTTGCTTTAAGTTCCAAAAAAGGAAAAAAATGACAATAAGCTATGGCAAAGAAATGCCTTTAAAGCACTCTCTCATGTATTGCATTGTTTCTATATGTGAAATATAAATGGTTCAAATCAAAATTACTTATTATTGTACAAAACACACATCGGGAGTTGTTCATACTAGTCAATGACTATTATTTGGAGAACTCTGAAACTGGAAATCTTAAGACCCATCCAACATTGGGGCAAACTCTTGGTGACTCCATGATGCCAAAACATGGAGTGGAAAGCCTGGTGTATTAGGGAGAAGCACACACAAAGCTTCAAAGACACTGACAGTGCTTACTTTACTGACTTGTTTTAGTAATGCGTCCATAGGTGCTCATTTTAATTCTTTAAATTGTGCATATGTGCTGTATGTCCTTCATTCAATGTAAGACAAAGTTCACACGAAAGAAAATTAAAGGTTAAAGTGATTTTAAAATCACTGAATAAACACATTTGAACTTCCTATATATCTGTTGTTAGCTTATCTATTTGTTTGATAATTAATGTGTTAGATTATTTTATATTTCTCTGGTTACCATAAAATTCTTTGTTTCTGCATGTTAGTCCTTAATACGTTTTAACTAGAATTAAGTTCTACTTCAAGTTAAAAAAAATAATAACAGTGGTCAAAAAATACAGAAGTTTATTTTTTCTCACATTTAAAAAAAAAAAAAAATGTCATAGACTCTGGCAATCCAAGAATGATGTGATAGTATTGCTCAAAAAGTTCTCAGGGACCTAGGCTTCTTCCAGTTTTCTGAACCATGAACCTTAGGCTATGACCTTACTATTCATAATATGAAATAGAATGTCAGCCTCCCATTCCAGTTCTCAGCAGCTATATAAAGTGAGTGGGATAAGATGGAAGGAAAAGCTGCAATATATTCCTATTAACACCTCATTGACCAGGTATTGATCACATGGTCATAGCTTCTTACAAGAGAGGTTGGGAAATGTAGTCTTAATTCTGATAGCCTTCTTGCCCTGCTAAACATCTTTTTTCTATGAAAGAAGAGAAAAAATACTAATAAATCCTAAGTTACCTGAGAATAACGTGGCAATGTTAACCATAAGAAATAGTATCTTTCTGATGATTATATTTACATGTTTAAAAAACCTTTCTCTCCTTTAATTTAGAGTTTATCAGATTAGAAACTCCCTCTACTGATCTGTATCTTCTATCTTGTAAATATTCAGATTCATAGAATATGTCTTTTAAAGGCCCCCATTCAGTATACTCTATTCTTTCCAGCAATACTTGATTGTATTTTAATATAATAAACTAAAAGGGAAATACAAACATAAAATCAATATGTTGTTAGTTTTATTAAATTACTATGAAAATTAAAGTGTAATACCTGTAAGAATAACATTACCAGTTTTTTACCATTCATTTGTTGACTATATTGAGCATTTTAGGTAAATTTTAATGTAAAAATATTAAATGTAAGCGAGGAGTGAAATTTTCTTTTCTCCTATTCGTAATTTGACCTTAACAGTAAGTGAAAAAATTAGTATAGTTTCCATTTCTTTCAGTCATTTATCAAAAATAATATATATATGTTAAGTTCAGACTACTACAAAGAAAAATTATTTTTCCTCATCCTATTTACATAGCTGAGCCAGAGTTTAAAAATATTTTTAAAATATTTATTTAATAAAGTCTGCTTCTTTCTCAGTTTTTTAATAACCACTTAATACATCATCTTTAAGTGAATAACCAAAAAAAAAGTTGAATCATCCTTCATTCTGAATTTCAAATAATTGTGATAAATCAAATTTCCTGTCTCACAAGTAATGTTTTACCTTTTTTCACCAATATTAACAAATCAAAGATAATACTTGATAGTCAAAACAGACAAAAGAATGGAACAAACAGAAACTCTAAGAAACAAAAGTGTAATATGTACATACTAAAGTGAAAGTGTTAGTCGCTCAGGCGTATCCAGCTCTTCGCAACTCCATGGACTATAGCCTGCCAGACTCCTTTGCCTGTGGCGTTCTCCAGGCAAGAACACTAGTGAGGTTAGCCATTTCCTTCTCCCAGGGGTCTCCCCAATCCAATGATCAAACCCAGGTTTCCTGCATTGCAGGCTGATTGTTTTCCATCTGAGCCATCACTGCTCACTTATGTTCTAGAAATGTTGTAACTGGCTGTTGTGTAAACTGAGAGTCCTCTGATTTACACAGAGAAAAATTAGGTATAAGTAGAAAATGCAGTGATATCATCATAAAGTACTCACATACAAGTTGAATTCATAAACAGTTTAACGGCAAACCTTCAGTTAAAAATTGCTCAGAAAATCATGAAGCCGAATTTTGCAGTCAACTACTAAATCCCAACTTGGAGATTCAATCTGATGTTAAGAGTCTTCTACTCTGGGAGAAGGGTTTCTTGATTTACTTTCAGCTTCAAGTCTGCCTGTCATTTAGCACAAAGGTAATGTTAGGGGCTGATTGCCTGAGTGTAAAGGTAGCTAGAGGAACAAGCAACTTTATTTTTTGTATTTGCTCTCTGTCTTTCCTCCCACTGTGTTAATTCAAGTCACCTTCCAGGCTTAAGCGAGTCTCTAATGAAGGTTGTACTTGGTTGCAACCTGGAAAGTTTATCCACAGCCTGATATGGTGACAAAGCTTGCTCTGTTCTTGGCAGGGTGGCTGAATGTAACAATTTAGAGCAAGAGCTCTGAAAGTCCAGGTGACTGTCAATCCTAGCTCTACAGTCTAGTAGCTCTGTGAACTTTAGCAAGTTAATTAACCTCTCTGCTTTGTAGATGATTTGTATGGTGGGTGTGATTATGAGATAGATACACAAAAACAGATAATGAAAATAGATGCCTTGCATCTATCAAGTACTCAAAAAATATGTATCATCATCATATATTCTATATCAGTATAGATATATGTATAAGTGTATGTATAAACATGACATTTAAAAAGAAACTATTGGAGAAGTTTTGAAAGTATTGAAAAAAAGTTTTGAAAGAAAGTTTAAGAAGAAAGTTGGGTAGGGGCATTGGAAATTAGAGTTGTTCGAGACCAAAACACTGAGAGGGAGAAAGAGAGTGATTGAAATTACAATTAATCTCTTAAAAACTGTTAGGATGTTGCTGTGCAGAGTACTTTTCACTCCACCTTGGATGATTCTGTTTGCCAGATCTGAGTTGTTACCCTAGATTTATATGTGATTTTTAATTTCTTGGGTAGTAATAGATACCCAAATTTCCCAAGGATCAAACAAGCCTTGATCAGTGGACAAGATGCTGGTTTCAATCCACCATTTCAAACATCTCTTTCATCACTACCCTCCCCTCTCATCAAATGCTTGCTGCTCGCTGTTTAGGGAACGTAATTACTACCTCTGGGAGTTTGCATGAGTTATTGTTCTTACGTACATAGCCTTTCCCTAACTATCTCTTCCACTGGTGAAGTCTTGCTCTTGTTTTAATACCTAGCTCAATCATTTTGTCCTTCCCTTACTCAACAAGGTCAGCGGCTCTCTCCTCTGAGGCCCCCCAACTCTTTCCCCAAGCTTACTTAACCTCCATTCTGCCCCACGTGGTGGTCTTTTATCCAAGATCACTAGACTATTAACTCTTTGATGGCAGGTGTTTGCTTATTTTGTTTCCTCCAGTATCTAGCACACAGCCTGGAGTATAGAGTAAGTACTCAAAGAGCTATTGTCATGATTGAATAAATGTAAGCTCCTTATGAAAAGCTGAGACATCATAATAACAATGCTAAGTTTCATGTGAAGTATTACAGGAACTCAGAAGAAAGAGAAAGGAATATCATATTAACACACAATGATTTTCCAAGATACATATTTCTTGTATAGAGACACTTGCATAGACTCATGTACTTCCTAGGAGCTAGAAAAAGATGAGATGATTCTTGCTTTTCTAAATTTACAGTCAAGTTAGGGAGACAAGACCAGTAAGCACTGTTCAAGATAAAATTCAGAGGTTTACAGAAGTCTAGAGATGGGGAAATCATATAAAGCTAAATTAGCATAAGCAAAGATAACTTTCTTGAGGAGGTGAGACTAGCGTTTGATGTCAAAAAAGACAGTGTTTGTACAGCGTAGGGGAAAAACAGATGGTTTCCGAGATGTGCGAAGCAAGGAAAAGCAAAGGGAGCCTGGTGTGTATGGGAACTGCTGAAACAGCCCAGATTGCATGTTAGGAAGCCGTGGGAAATCATGGGAGACCAGTAGGTCGGGCCAGATTCTAATGAGGCTTTTAAAGTTACTGTTAACTAAAGTTTGAGATTTTTCCGGTAGCTGAAGCAAATGATTGATTGATGAAGCAGGGGGTGGGGAAACATTGCACTGACTAAATGTTGACCATTATAATTTTCAGCGCAACAGCTGCTACTGAAATTGCAGTCATTCAAAACGAAAAATAGACACTGTTGTTCTGAAATAGCTTGGACTATTTGGAACCCTGGAGCCTGAGTGCATGCGATGTGGTTTCACTAAGAACATGATGGAGTGCGGGTTCCTGTTTTTCTTTTTTTCATAATGACTTGTTCTATGGATTGAGAATTCAAACTGAGCAACAATTTCACAGTCGGAGTTGGAGTGTGGGTTGTATAAAGTTGCAGAAGCGCTTTTCCAAAGACTTGAAAACTCCTCCCTACTCCCTAATTACACTAACTAGAATGATGTTTGAAAAACATCAATTGCTTACTTTCCTGACTCCTACAAGTCTATTTATTATCAACTCATTATTTACATTGTATTACTTGCTGATAGTAATATTTTACCAAAGAATTTAGCCACGAAGTTTGACAGTCTATTTTTACTTTAAGATAAACATTTACAAAACTACCCATGTCATGTAAATATTTGAGGTAGGAATAATCCATAAATATTATTTACAATTAAACTCATGATTACTTATTGTTTTCTACACCAGATAAACAATTTTTTTTCAAGGTCATCATTTTAGTTTCTTAGGGATTATCAATCTCTATAAAGTTGAATAAATTATTTTATAGTTCAACGTTAATATACTATGCGTCCTTGTTTATTTTCTGGCCCACCATCTCTATACCACTAGTTTATTATAGGTGACTTTGCCGTATCAAGAGATTTGGACATCATCTCATAGTAGATATTTGAAAACAGAGAGAAGCTAAAAAAAATCACTATCTATGTGTTGAATATATAATACTGGCAGCAATAGAAAGATGAATTAGAGGACAAAGGGAGAAATTTAGAGGCAGAGGGACTACTTAACAAAATAAATGGTTAGGGCAAGAACAAATTGTGCAAAAAAAAAGAGAGAGAGAACAAGATTGAAGAGCATTTTAGGGGTTGAGTGGGACTTGTTTTTAGACAAATTGAATCGATGGGTACATATACAACTACCTACCAGTGGTGGAGTCCCAGACATGCTTGCTAAGGGTAAAAATGGAGCTCTCTTGGTTACTGTAAGGAGAGAATGGTAGAGGCTTCTCTGGGTAGCAGGTTGCTATAGCAACAGTATCCTGTCAAGCACAGAGTCCCTTTGTCTCTGCTGGTGACCCGTAGAGGTTTCCAGAAGCCTGAAAATGTATAAGCATCCTGGATCAATTGCTTTTTTTTTTTTTTTAACAGAAAAGCAGTCATCAGGTGGCTATCATAAACATGGTTAAGATTTGAACAGAAACTTTATCTCATCTTATCAAATGTTTATGGGACTAAAGTTTTATGTAAAAGTAGACTCCTTAAAACTTTGACTCTGGGAAAGTTGTTTAACATCTGTGTTTCCATATTTCTTCACCTGTAAGACAGAATAATAATTATGCCTATCTCATAAGCTTGTGATATGGTGCTTAGAAAGTACAAGGTAAGTAGAATGTAAACATTAGCCATTGTTGCTATTGTCGTTATCATCTGCCTCATGTGAGTAGGTAGCATAGTGTAGTAATTCAAAGCATGAGCTCCAGGAAGAAAATGCCTTGGTTATTTGTTTCAATATGGCACTTTTTAGCTGTGTAATCTTGAAGTTGTTTAACCTCCCTGTGCTTCTGTTTCCTCGTTTTATTTTTCTTTAATTTTTATTGGAGTGTAGTTGATTTACAGTGTTGTGTTAGTTTCAGGTGTACTGAAAAGTGAGTCAGTTATACATGTACATATATCCACCTTTTGTTTTAGATTCTTTCCCATAAAGACCGTTTCAAGATATTGAGTACAGTTCTCTATGCTATACAGTGGATTCTTATTAGTTATCTATTTTATATACAGTAGTGTGTCTGTTTCCTCACTTTAAAAATGGGAAATAATTGTATCTACCTAAGAGAGATGTTATATCAGTTAATTGAATTAATATTTATAAAGTACCTAAATTGATGCTATGCAATATAGTAAATATTTAACAAGTATTTATCAAATAAACAAACATAGACTATCTTATCAGATTCCTCTTATCATTCTAATATTCTCATGTTTCATTTTATAATAGTTATTTTTTAATTTAATTTGCTCTTATATTTTCTATGGCTTCTGAATTTAAAGAAAGCAAAAAGGCAGGCAGGAAAGACATCTAAAATGTATTGCATTTCTACTTTGTTCCAGGCACTCTTGGAGGTACTGTATCATTTAATCCTCACAAAAACTGCATGAGTTTTTTCATTTACAGCATGCTACAGATAAGAAAACAGACCTGAAAAACTGGAATAACTCAGTGCCTCACAGGTGACAAATGTTTAAGCCTGAATTGAAATCCACATTCTCTTGATTCTAACACTAATATTCTTTAAATTATAAACAGAATTTCTTAAATAAGTTTAAAGTAAATGATAATTATTAACAAATACTCATGATAATCACTGATGATAATTATGTACTCTTTTATTTTCATTTTATTCCCATCAAACCTTACATTTTTAATAGTTAACAGTTTCTTCTGGATATTATACAATACATCAATTTATCAACCTGTTATATTATTCCTGGGTGAGGAAAGTATAGCATTCTAACAAGGGAGATAATTAATGATTAATTTATGATTGATTATTCGATTAGTGGTGGATTCAATGGAAAACAGATCCTACAACATGACTTTAAAAGCCCATTAAAATATATAAATGAATGCAGTTTTCTATCATAACCATATCATTTGCTTTTTTCAAACTATCTTACACTAATTCTTTATCTTATAAAAATTATGTGTATCACTTTACACCTAATAGTTTTATTAGGTTTTAAGATGACAGTGAGATTGCTTTATGTCCATTAAGACAAAGGAAATAGCCATTAAAATTATTTTTAAGGAATTGATAATGCCTCAAACTTAAGAGTTCACTCCCTTTAAAGCAGAAAATTAGATTCCATCTTGGATTTAAGATGAATGAAGTATTTGAGATACACAAAATCCATCATGGCATTTTTCATCCTCACCAAACTTAGACTTAATAAAAATGACTTCATCTGCTATTTCCAGGTTAATTTTCAGTTCAGCATTTTGTCAAATGATATTTCTAGCTAGAGTCCCCAGTTGCACAGAAGCAGCGATTTCCACATCAAAGTTTCAAGGAAAATAGAAACACATTTTAAGATGGCAAGAAAAGAAAATAATTACTGCTGTTAGTCACTCCTCAAGGGCCAAGGAGAAAATGGAAATGAATTTAGATGTGGATGAAAAGGTGAAATGTGCTTCTTCTTTGTCACTGCCATGCATTCATTACAAAGCAATCTAATAAGCTACAGCATCAGAGGGAAGAAATAAGGATGCCATAAGTATATTTTCTCTTTTCAAGTTCAAATAATCCATAATTTCTATTGCCTATCTTTTAGAAATTCCAATGAAGATATTTTCCACCTGCAAATTTGTTAGTGGCTATGCTTTCTATTCATATTATCTTAACATACACTTAAAATGGAAGCATTGTACCCAAGGATTTGTTTTCAACAATGTAGTTCAACAATGACAATGACAGCTGCTCAGAGGTAATCTATTCAACTCTTCTAAACAAATGCAATATTCTGTGTACATATGTTTACATTTCTACCTATCATTCTGAAAAAATAAGTCACCTCCATTAATATTACCCATACCTTAACCTAAAACCTGTACAAGCCAGTGAATAAAACCTTTGGGAAGAAAAAATACAAAACTCATCCTAAGCAAATTCATGGTTAACCAGTATTCAGTTCAGTCACTCAATCGTGTCTGACTCTTTGTGACTCCATGGACTGCAGCACACCAGGCCTCCCTATCCATCAGCAATTCCAGAGCTTGCTCAAAGTTATGTCCATCGAGTCAGTGATGCCATCCAACCATCTCATCTGCTGTCATCCCCTTCTCCTGCCTTCGATATTTCCCATTATCAGGGTCTTTTCCAATGAGTCAGTTCTTCACATCAGGTGGCCAGAATGTTGGAGCTTCAGCTACAGCATCAGTCCTTCCAGTGAATATTCAGGACTGATTTCCTTTAGGATTGACTGGTTTGATCTCCCTGCACTGTATACCATGAAATATCTAAGTTTTCAACACTGAAAACTTTTCTTAAGAATTACTGTTTCAAGAAGCGAGAATTTCTTTCAGAGAAATTGGAGCAAATCCAGTAGTATCTGTGCCTTACATAGGAAAAGCCTAAAATGTTTGTAAACAGAGGGAGGGAAGGCTGAAATATAGTTGAAAAATTCACCATGGGAAACAGAAGTCACGTGCCTTCAACCATTACTAAGTATGTTATTCTTAGAGATGAACAAAGGGAAACAGGAATCAGGGAGCACTGAAATTTGTCATAAGAAATATTTTTAACAGAATGAATGTTGGATATGTCAGAGATGTTCTATTTCCCTTGATTTCCACACTCTGTTTTTAACCACCCTGCTTCGTGCCCTGGGAGGTTGAACTCCATCAGTTGCACAGGCTCTTCTGACTTCCAGCTGGATTTGGTCCATGGAAAGTATTAGCACGTGAAGGAGAGTGAGATCCCAGCATTTATCACCCTGCTAACCCTTGCCAGCTTGCAGGCTGGCAGGGGTTGTCACACCGCCAAAGGCCAGAGCACCTGTTTGGCATCCCTCTCCTGTAGCACAGCCACAGTGGAAGCAACGGTGACATTTTTTCATGGACTCCTATACCCATTCCCCTTCAGGCCTAGGATGCTAAGAATTTCCGGCTTTTGCCAGTCCTGAGGTATGGCATCCCTTGCTGGTTTTGCTGGGGTTTTATGTTTTGTTTTGTTTGGAGTTTTTGTTTGTTTGTTTGTTTTATTTTGTTTTTTAGTCTAGCCCACAATTTCACAAGTAGTTCCTTATTAAACTACATTTAATTACCCCCATTTGAGGGTGCCGTCTTTTCTGCTGACAAATATATGGAGCAAATACCGGCATTCTCAGGATTAAATTTTCAATCTCTTCCTCTAGCTACTAAAGAAATTAAAATGTCTTTAAAATCATTTAAATGATTTGAGGGTTTATAGATAACAGACCACTCCCCTGGATTAGGTAAGCCTCGTAATTAAATGATAATCTAATGCTGAATTTAAAGTGTACCTTTTTTCTTATGAGAGCAGAAAAGTGTTTCACAGCTTGGTAAATTATTGTATCAAGAGAAACAAACCTAGGTACCTTTCCAATTGAGTATTTTACCTCAATTGGAAAATTATGAAATTTTCTCATCTGATTTTGATTGATATGTCCTAACTATAAATATATCAAATAACCAAATCTCTCATTTTTTTCAAAGTCTTAGACATATTATTTACCTGTCACAACATCTTTTAAACAATGGCAAAATTTTATATTGATACTACTGTATTTGAGTCTTTATCAATATATTAATATTCACATGGGTATCAAAGAATGGATTTTTATTTTTAAGACCCACAAGAGCAAAGCTCCAAACATAATCAGTATAGACAAGCTCTAGGATTGACAGCAATGGTCACCTTCAGTCCATTTGTGACATTTCCATGAATGTCATTCATTCCTGTCCCAGTTTCTCAGTATTCCTTTTCCCTCACCTGAAAATAAATGCTCAATCAACCAAGTTCAAAATAGAAATGAAAATAGTAGGCTGACACACACATTTTTCAATGTTCCCTTTTGTAACTCTTTTTATCCAATATGTATAACCACATCAATAAGCTTTACTTGCCAAACTCCACCATGATATTTTTATTTACTTGGCCAAAAGGCAAAGATAATACTTCTCTATTAAATTTAATATGAACATGGAAAAGCTAACCTATCACTCATATTTGAACAGATCATAAACAGCATCATAATGGTATCAATATAGCAATTTTCCAGATGGTGAAATGGAGACTCAGAGAGAGAATGTGATTTTCTCAAGGTTACATAACCAGTAAGCTATAGAACTTGATCTTGAACTCAGGTCTCTTAACTCTACTAAACTGCTTTATTTGTCACATCTTGTGAACATCCTTTGACCGAGTGGAGGAGAAAAGCAATAAAACACTAAACACCCAAGTCAGGATAAAGAGAGGAAGGGGAGACTGAGATCACTGGTAGAAAACATCACCAAGTTCAGAATTTTAACTAGGACCAGCTTTACCTGAGGGGAAGAGACTTGAGATGTACAGTGTTTGTCATTGGCCATTAATCTCAAAAGTAGAGGCCCACTGGGCATAAATAAAAAGGAGGGAATGCAGATTTCTTCCCTTAACTTTCTGTCTTAACATCTTTACCTTGATCTCTCCCAAGAGGAAGAGTTAAGAAATAGGTTAAAAATAAGTAATTACATCAATAATTTATTGACCAAGTTGTCCAGAAAGACTTGGAGCACTAGATAAATTAATGCCAACCATTTACTTGATGTGATACTAAGTAGCTGTTGGATTTGATGCCTGATTATTTCATTCGTGTAGAACTCACTTCAGTGGAACAGGTATGCAGACTCCAAACCACAGTGGAGGTATCAAAATTTGACTTGCACCTTGTTTGTTTGCTTCTCAGAAGGAATTAATCCCTTTCTGAGACTCGTAATTAAAGCAAGGGGAAAAGGGAAATTCAATATTTTCATTGTACTAGGAATTAAACCATGTAGAATATTATCTGATGGAATTACCTTGAATGTGATGTTTGAACATGTGTGGGTGCTTATTTCCATTCTTCAGTCATTGATTCATTCAGCTGACATCTGTTGAGCACCTTCTAGATGAAAAGCACATACCAAGGATTTCAGAAACAAAGGAGAAGTCTTGATGGTTTCAGTTGCTGAAGAGCCAGAAGACTGGCGAGAAAGACTGAGGTGCAAATGCCCCAGAGTTCCAACTTGAACATCCTTGGAATACAATGCAGTCACATTTGCACAAATGATAAAAATGGTGCATGGACTCCCACTGTGTGCCTACAGGACCCCAGATCCTCTCTCAAGCAGTCCCAGGGTGGACTATCTCCTGTCCATCCATCTCGCTGCCTGGGCCTTCACACCCCAATCTGGCTCCATGCCTTGTGACTCCATTTTCTACTGTTTCCAATAAGATCCTCTTAAAGTTCCCATGGACCGCATTGCCACTGCCATTCTGTCTTCAGAAGCCAGGGCAAAGATGCATTGTCATCCCTCACTCTGTGATGGGTACAGTGCCAGCTTCACTAATGGATGATCAGTACAAGGATACAAGACTCTTCTTTCAAAAAGGGCCCAACACTTGGAGTTTTCTGCTCTCTGTTTACCACCTTGAAATCCTTAGGAAGTAATTCTTTCAATGTGTGTTTTTGAGTTAAAGCCCAATGGGACAATACATAATGCACCAGAACTTGCAGCCTAAATCCACACACGCCTCCCCCCCAACTCCCACCGCCTCTTGACTCCATGGTAGAAGTCCCAAATAGCCACTTCCCACCCTCTGATCCCCTGGGTCCTGTCCTCCTTCCACTCATTGCTTCCCCTCTACTCCCTGACCTCTGTCATTTTCCACCCAGAGAAGCAACAGGTCCATACTGGTGGGGAGAGGTCTACATTCCTCTTATTGTCCTTCACCCCCGTAGGTGCCTGGACAGTGGTCACGGGACAGGTCTGGGTCACTTGCATGTACCCTGTGATGTCTAGAGAGGATGCTTGGTAATGGTTATCCCATACCTGGGCAGGCAGGATCATAGCATTTGTGATGAAGGCAAGCCTCTGTTACACACTTGATACAACTCCAACTTGGAGGAGACAGTCTCTTGGGACTGAGGGTCACCCAGACAGTGATGCTTGTGATGGCTACCAATAGGAAATGAAGATTTACTTCCCTGCCCCTTCTGGGGTCCCAGATTTTCATCTTGCACTGGGGCTGCAGATTATGTAGCTGACCCTGAATAGGTACATCATACCTATTGGATATTATACTGAACAGAATAACTTATCCTACTGTTCCCTTTAATATGATAGAGTATGACGGAAAATGTTCACCACGTTAGAATAATGTGCAGTCAGAGAAACTGATGCTTGGGATATGGCCTTGACTGGCCTGACGGAACCTCCATGCATAGAGGTGTTGAGGCAAAGGAGATGATTCATATAGTTTAAAAAATTACTTATATACAGACATTTAAAAACTAACTGAATATATTGAGAATTATGGAAGCCAGATTTCTCACTGCTTGAGAAAATACAAATATAGAAATGAGGAAGGTGAGAATAAATCTTGAAGTGTTGGGTTGGAATTGTGAACTCATGGTTTTTAATATATAAATAGATGGATGAGTATAAAAAGAGATAGAGATCTAAGTGAGCATATACATATGTGTATGTGTGTATATATATTTCTAGTTTTGCTGCTGAGTTCTGCAAGCCCAATATGGTGGTGGTGGTTTAGTCTCTCAGTCATTTCCAATTCTTTGTGACCCCATGGGGATGGCCCACCAGGCTCCTCTGTCCATGGGATTTTCCAGGCAAGAATACTGGATGGGTTGCCATTTCCTTCTCCAGGGCATCTTCCCGACCCAGGGATTGAACCCACATCTCCTGCAGGTGAATTCTTTACTGACTGAGCTACCAGGGAAGCCCCATACCTAGCATCCTAATCTTGGTTTCTAAATACTGTGCTCCACTAAACAAAACCAGGACTCCTTGGGGAAAATGAATGATTCCAGAGTAAGAAACGTATACTATGGAGCTGGAATTCTGTGTGGTCCCAGAGAGAAAGGAAGGGATGGGAGGATATTTGGGCATGGCAATGGAGCAAAGAAAACACCTTAAAAGGACAACTTGAGCAGCAAAATAAACAATGACAATCAGTTATAACCCACTGAATAAGATGGGAATCCATGAGTCCATGCTGATGTAATGTACATGAAGGAGTGAATAAGCTAGTGGAAGAAAGGATTGCTTTATATAACAGTAAAGCACCAACCATTAAACTGGAAAGAATGATGAACTGAGAATACCCCCTTCTGGCAGTCACCTCAGTAAAAATTGTTTCAAGAAACAATAATCAGTGGGTGATTATAAAAAGAGTGAGGGGTTTCCCTGGTGGCTCAAGGGTAAATAATCTGTCTGCCCAAATAGGAGACGTGGGTTTGATACCTGGGCTGAGAAGATCCCACGTGCCACAGAGCAGCTAGGCCTGTGGACCACAACTATTAAGCCTGTGCTCTCGAGCCCGAGTTCTGCAACAGGAGAAGCCAGTGCATCAAGAGGCCCACGTACCTCAACTCGAGAGAAGCCTCTGCTCGCTGCAACCAGAGGAAAGCCCGAACAAACAAAAATAAATAAATAAATAAAACTTTTTTAAAGAGTGAAAGTTTGAAAGAAATGAAATTATTTACCTAGTCTCAAAGTTGTTCCCCAATTACTTTTTGTCAAAAATGGGTGTTGAACTTTATTGACAGCTTTTTCAGCATCTATCAAGGTTATCATATGGCTTTCATCTTTCAATTTGCTAATATGTGTATCACAACCCACTTACTTTAAAGTACTTATGATTTATTTAAAAATTAAAATAATAAGTGCATGCTGACATGAATAACAATTTTTAGTAAAATATTTTTTAAACATCAGTGAGAAAACAGGCATTCCTTAATTTTTTATAATTGTTAATTATCAATATTGTGATTACTGAAAAATAGCCAATTTTCATATCTCCTTCTACTTCCTCTGATGTGACATGTTGTTTTGGTTGAAGTAGGTAAAAGATATGTAGTCTCACGCAGATACGTAGTTGAAAAATGAAAGAGTAATTTAACAGTCTTTGCAGATAAAGTTTAATATTCTTTGGTACTCTAGCAAAATTTAACGTTAGTTTCTTAAACTATATCTTGAAAAATTTTTTATGAAGTAAAAATTGATCGATGAAATTGTCATATTCTTTTAAATTCTATGTATCTTTTTTAGATTAATAGACTTTACTCTTAATGGCTTTATATTTATTTTTAAAAGTGAGCAGATAATGCTGAGATCTCATATACACCCCTACCCCACACACAGTTTTCCTTAAGATTAAGATCTTACATAATTTTGGCACATCTGTTAAAATTAATGAGTCACATTTGAGACATTATTATTCACTGAAGTCCACTGTTATGTTTGTTCAGTCACTCAGTCGTGTCCGACTCTTTGCAACCCCATGGACTGCAGCACACCAGGCTTCCCTGTCCTGCACTGTCTCCCGGAGTTTACTCAAACTCAGGTCCAGTGAGTCGATGATGCCATCCAACCATCTCATCCTCTGTCACCCCATTCTCCTCTTAAAGTCCATAGCTCACATAAAAGTTGCTCTTTGTGAGGTACAGTTCTCTGGGTTTTTACAAGTATGTAATGTCATATATAGTGTCATCTGACATAATTTCACTGCCCTAAAAATCCCCTGCACTTCAGGTATTCATCTTTCCCACCACCACTACTCCCCAGATGGGAACAATCAAGGTGCATACTGTCTCTATAGTTTTCTCTTGTCCAGAATATCATAGTTGCAATTATATAAAAATTAGATTTTTCTGATTGCCACCTTTTGCTTACCAATATGCTTTTAAGATTCTTCCATTTCCTTTCATGACTTGATAGCTCATTTCTTTTTATTACTGAATAATATTCCACACTGCTACAATTTATTTATGTATTCACCTATTGAGGACATCTTAGTGGTTGCCAATTTTTTTGGCGATTAGGAATAAATCTGCTATAAACAAATGCATGCAGGTATTTGTATGAACATCAGTTATCAACTCAGTTGGGAAAATATCTAGAAATGTGATTTCTGGATAGTACAGTAAGACCATAGTTTTGTAAGGAACTGCCAAACTGTCTTCAAAAGTACCATTTTTCATTCCTAGCAGTGACAAATAGGAATTACTGTTGCTCCACAGTCTCTATAGCATTTGGTATTGGCAGCATTTTTTTTATTTTAGCCAGTTTATTAGGTGTTTGCTGGTACATCATTGTTTTACTCTTCTAAGAAAGTAAGAATATTTAATAGAAAAGTTTTAAGCATATTTAATATTCTCATGGACCAAACATGTATGGAGAAAAGTGGACAGAGAGCTTTCTGCAAGAAACTAGAGACTTTCCTTCTAAAATTTTTAAATCTGAGAGCACCAGTAAGATGAAACATAATTTAAAGATTTCAAGAAGCATTGATTTTGCACCATAATGAGATGATTCTACATCAGACATTTTCAAATTCTCTCAGAGGTTTTTTAAATTGCTATCTGCGGAATACATTATTTTAGTAAAACCTGGAAACACTTGCCATTACTTTGAAAACATTTTTGAAAGTCAATCAAAGATTTGGAAAGCGTGTTAGCCCTACTGCTTACAATTCCATTTAAATTAGGGGACAATCATGTGAATTTCTATATTTCTTCTGTATGTCTGTATAAATTTGGAACTGAAGAGCAGAAGCCCGTACCTTGATGCACCACTTTATATAAGAGAAATAATGACAAAGTTCTCTCGATTGAGTGTAGAATTTCTATGAAATGTTCCAACATTTGGGCTGCCCCACAGTATTAGTTGGATTTCCCTGGCGGCTCAGAGAGTAAAGAATCCGCCTACAGTGTGGGGCACTTGGGTTCAATCCCTGGATTGAGAAGATCCTCTGGAGAAGGGAACAGCTGCCCACTCCAACATTCTGGCCTGGAGAATTCCATGGACGGAGGAGCCTGGCGGGCTACAGTCGGGGGTCACAAAGAGTCGGACAAGACTGAGCGACTTTCACTTTCACAGTATTAGTTATAGGAAATATTTTTATCAAACCTGATTTTATAAGCTCTCTGGCAAATTTAGTTGGTATATTTTACCATGCAAACCATACTCTCTCTGTGTGCATACCCATATATTCCATTTATTATCTCCGTATCGCTCTTGTTCTACAGTATGAGGATGTGATAACACTTCACACTTTAATTTTCAGATAAATCAAGTTTCTTCGGTGTTGTGTGAACCAATATACTTACTGCATTTGTGTTTGGCTGTTAGAAATAGTTCATGAGATACCATGTGCTCAGTTGCTCAGTGGTGTCTGATTCTTTGCACCCCCATAGACTGTATAGCCTGCCAGGCTCCTCGGTCCATGGGATTTTTCAGGCAAGAACACAGGAGTGAGTTGCCATTTCCTACTCCAGGAGATCTTCCTGGCCCAGCGATCGAAACCAAAGCTCTTACATCTCCTACACTGGCAGGCAGATTTTTTACTACTGAGCCACCTGGGAAGCCATAAGATATAATATTAAGATATAATACAGCTCAGCTACTTTTTCATTTTAGAGGAATAGTATTTAAGGCTGTTGGTTCAGCACATGTCATTAACACTGTGGATCTTGGAAGTTGGAACCCATTTGTTAAATATGAAGATTCGCTTAGCGTAGAGAAGAACAAAGAAAAGTAACCTACACACACCTAGAGCTTTCAATATTGAAGACATAGTGCCATCTGGTGGGAGAAAAAAAAGTAGAGGAGAAATACAAAACGCAGGGTCCCCACTGATGGCAGAAAGATGCTGGGAATCAGACAAAGGCAGACAGGGGAAGCGGAGAGAGAGGGTCCTTTCTGAACCCTCAGTGGTCAGCTTGCTGCTGCAAACCATGCTGTCAGGAGGGTGTCTCAGATGGGAGAAATTTTCTAACCGTAAT